TGATTGACCTGTCGTTAAGGAGGTTGATGTTTATATTAAGGAGATGATAAGTAGGTGATACTTTTCAAGAGGTTTAAGAAATATTTTATTTATTAAACTATGCCTACTACTACAGTTCTATATAAAAAAGATATTTTAAAAATTTTTCCTCATTTTCAAATACTTATATATATTATTGTTAATAATTTTTTTTTTTTTTTTTTTTTTTTTATTATTATGTTGGCTTATACTATTTTATTTGACTATTTTGACTACTTTGATTATTTTTTAAGACAAATTTATGGAACTCCCTGGCTATATTTTAAGTTTTAGATGTATGAATATTGAGATATTTTATTCATAGAAGTAATTTCTTTCTCCTATCTGGGTTGAAGGCCAGATAGTCTTTTCAACCAAATTATGTGAAGGGCAAAAATCAGATGTTCAGTTGGATAGTGACCCTATGATCACAATCAGACATAGGACTGAAAATGAATTTCTTTCTCATTTGAACTGGAGTTGGAACTAGTATATTTTTGTATTTATGCAAATCTGTAATGCTTATCTATTTTTTTTTTTTTATTTTATTTGGTTTTTGCTCAGTTTCTTGGATGTTAAGTGTTGGCATACAATGATACAAAATATTTTCTGAAATTTAATGACATCAAAACAAATACAAAAAGATAAAAAAATAATATGGAAAAACACAATCCATCAGAAAACTAGTTTACTTGTACCATAAAAAAATCTTGGTTTAAAATTTTTTTTTTTTTTTTTGATAATATTGAAGTAATACTTCATGACTTGTAGACACAATCTGTAAAAATAAGACACCATTAAAAATATATAATTTATCTTTTCTAACATTTAGATCTGTTTTTTTTGGTGGTGGGGGGGCTGCATTTTAATCCCTTCATAATGTATCTCTTTCGTATATACTGTCATGTGACCAGTGCCCCATTTACTTATGGGCTAGTATAGGTTGCAGCCAAGGAGCCCCAACACTAGACAAGTCTCTATGAGCCCTCTAGTCTTGGGCCCTTGATTTAAAAAAAAATAATAAAGATATAATAACAGAGGAAATATGTTTATTTTCAGATTTAATGGGGTTCCTTTGAATTAATTTGAAACAATTAGAGTATTTGGGTCCCTCTAGTTAGAGTGGGTCTTTTAAATTCAATGGGTCTCCTTGAAAGAGTCCCATTTACATTTTGATGCATCTTTTTTGATATACATATAGATTTTTCATGTAGCTTTTTTTTATTTTTGCATAATTTTGTCGATTTGGCTTAATTTTTGCTTATTTTCACACTTAAATGAACACAGACATAAGTTCAAAATTGCTCAGTATTCTACAAATTGTATAAATTTAGAATTTCCTCATGTTGAATCTGTTTTAAAATTTTTTTCTGTGTATAATAGTAACCAACTGTTCTGATGAAAGATCTTTTCTCAGCTAAAAAGAATAAAAGTGCAACTTCAATCAACTTTTATGTAAAAAAAACTGGGTGCCCTCAGCATTTTATGTATTGAAAGTGATAAACTGTGTGGAATTTCTTTTGGTGATTTAATCAAAGACATTTTTGTAAATACATCAAGACTAAAAATTAATTTTTTTCTACTACATCTGTGTATTTGATTTCTTACTGTGATACAAGTTATTATCTTTCATTACAATGTGATACAATCCCAAAATATATTATCTTCTATCTAATCTTCAGGATTTATAATTACTAGCTTCGCTATTTGAAGTTGACAATTTTAAGAATAGATAAAAATTAATTTTTTTTCTGCTGTGTATGATCAGGATCATAAGGCTAGCCCTTCATTCTTGATACATTTCTGTAAGATGTAAATTTTAGATAAAAAATATCGTGAAATTGCTAATGAAATAAATTGGATGAGTTCCAAAATCATTAGAAATTTTAGTTGAAGTATTTCATGTTTTACACCAAAAAAAAAAGTATCATCTAAAAATCTTTTTTTTTTTTTTTTCTCTATAGATACAACAGGAGAAAGACATACGTAATGAAGGGGGCGCCCAAATTCTATTTGTTCAGGGGCCTCTTAAGGCCTAAATCTGTCCCTACATGTGATCCATACGTATTTCTTGTTATATTTTCTCATTCTGCACATTATCCATGCTACACTTTTATTTAATGTAATAATATCAACCACCACCCACTATTATTTCAATGTTCTTATTTTTTTTATCTTGATCTGTAAAGCTATTCATTTTAAATATTAAGCATGATACACAAAACAAAGACATGCTGCAAAGCCTCTGGTTCCCACTTCGATTGGCATACAGCTCGCCTTCCAGCCATTTGTCCTGCATGCCTCTAATAATTCCTCATATTTGAATTTCTTCCTTTCATTAGCCTCTTTAATGTGCTCTTCCCAAGGAACCGTTAATTCCCACAAAATTATGATTTTTAGATTATTGGAGAAGAACACTATGTCTGGACGTAATTGGGTGTGGGCTATGTGCTCTGGGAACATCAGTCTAGACCTTAAAATCGGTCTTCTGACCCAGTCTGTAGCACGTGTGAGTAGGTTTTATTTTGAGGGCTTTTTTTCTTCTGAGGTTTGGAACCGACTTTTAAGAACTCTATGGAACTTTGGTGGGAATTTAATACATTTACTTGTATCGCTAGTCGTAAAATTTCTGCGATTTCTTTTAATATCTCATCGTACCGCCATTTATACCGACCATCCGCTAGTGCTGATGGACAGCTGCTGAGGATATGTTTTAACGTTCCTACTGTCCGCACAATTGGCAATTGGGCGAATCTGATTTGTTCCATAATTTCAGATTAGCAGGGCTGGGTAGGGTGTCGTACACGGCATTGATTAAGAATTTTAACCCCATGTTGTAATGCCAAATATCTGCCCATTTCACTTTTCGGTGGATGATGGACTCCCATCTTGATCTGTAGAGCTATTCATTTTAAATATTAAGCATGATGCACAAAACAAATGTTACCTGTTATTATGGAGAAAAAAAATCTGTGCCAGATATTACTATCATTCTTTATATTTTAATAAATTTAATTTTATTTACCAAAAGTCTAGGTATTTTTATAGGGAAATCTTTTCTGGTTATACAAGTAGCATTATTGTTATTAGTACAGAAAGTGAAATAAGTGAACCAAGCCCAGATTCTGGATTTATCTGTTGTGTTCACTTTTGCACTAATGAATGACCTTTTTGTTTTTTAGTCATTTCACCCCAAGCAAGCCACTAAGATGCAAGGAATTACCGAGTGTTTTGACTGGGAAGCAAGAACAAGACCTTGCCACCAATCTAGTACTGCACTAACATTTATAAAGTCTAGGTATCATAGAGAAAAGTTCATCAGAACGATTATGATAAAAGTATTCATAGAAAAGGCACAGGGAAGCTACATTACAATAGTGGGAAAGTGGCTGAAGCCAAGATGCTAGGACCTGGGAAAAGGCATGAATCCATCTCTTCTCTCCTAACCATGGTAGTAGAGTTGACTGGATTTTCTAACCACAGAGAAAGCAACAGGAAACCACTTCCCTATCTTTCCCAATGAAGAAGTCATGGCAATTTACAGATATTCTTGTGCAGCAAATACAATTGCTGGCACAATTATTTCCTTCAGTTTTTTACCCTGGTATGGTGATTATTTGGTATGGCACATTTGTTTTTTTTCTTCAAATAATTTTTTGCACTAATTTTTTTTGTTACGTGTTAAACTTATATAAAAATTACCACTGAAATGTTTATTTGATTGACATTAAAATTTCCCCCAGGATTATTTCAACTTTTATTTGGTACAAAATATTAGCAAAGAAGAGGTAGCTGTGTAAAGCCATGATTGCTGAACAAACATGGTATTTTTAAAAAAAAAATTTTAAAATTTGAGATTTCTATAGGTAACTAATAAAACCAAAGACACTATAAATGCTCAATTTAGTGCCTCCTTTCTCTGAGAAATTTAAAATAAGCACCCCAGGGTGACTAAAAAAATGTATTTGAGAAAAACATAGGGTGCTTATTTGAATCTGGGAGTTTAAAGACAAGAATTTAATTTAATCAAAATATGCTTTCTCCTGAAAATCATGTACAGGGTCAGATTTAATCTCCATGGTGATTCTTTTTCTTTTTAAGTTCATTGTCCAGAATAATTGCATTTTTCTTTATTGGTAATCATTGCCGCATACCTAGGACTACAAGGACCACTTCTCTTTTACATTTACTGTTGCTTTGAGACGACTGCTACTATTTGCTTCAGTAAATTTATTTGGAAATCTCTATCGGATCATGTCCAAATCTTCTCTAGTTCTCTCAAGTACACACCAATTTTGCTTTGGTTGTGTTTTGTGGCTTTTGCTCTTGTATCCTTTACACAGCTCAATTCTTCATTCAGTTTAATGACTCATGTATTGCCGGAAAAGAACTAATTTCACAAATGAAGTTGTTCAATGATGTAGATGAAAATCCATTCAAACCAACACAAAAAGTAACTGACTCTGACATAGAAGAAGCTTTGCAGCACGAACCTTATTGTTATATTTGTGTTAAAAGTGACATGTTATTCTTAATTTTTATGCTGCCTTGTGCAGTTTTTATATAAATAAAAGATGAAGATGGCTAAAAATCGCATTTTTTAGATAACCAACACAAGTGCTAAATTATTACAATGTATAATTAGTATGCAAGGGTTCAAGTATTCAAATGGACAGTTTTTTAGAGACAATAGTCAAAAGTGGATTAGTTTTGTCTGGGGTGTTTAGAAACTCAGAGTGGGTTAGTTGAGTCATGTATTATTTTATAGCAACTAATGATTGTCAAAGCTAATCTGTTTGAAATTAACCATCATAAATATGAAATAGAAAAGCTGGTGTATTTTATTTTTGATTTTATAAAATCAATGTATTGTGGCACTAAAATAATGTTTTGGCAACAATCTATAACCAAACTTGTATGCATTTATTGAACAGATCCGGAATCCACTGTTAACGCAAGGTGATCATTGATACTTCAATATCATGTCTTTCAAGCGTGAAGGAGTCGACAAAAGTTTGCTTAATGTGTTACGGGTAAGTGTTTTATTTTTATCATTTCATCCTAAGAAAGGCAATAAAACCATTAAGATGCGAGGGGTTACTGAGTGAAAGAATATGAAAAGAAAAAAAATGGAGGAGAGAGAACTATAAAAGAAGAACAAAAATTAAAAAGACAAGATAACAATTGACATTGCATTTAAACTTTTGAAGATCAAAGTTGACTGGGAAGCAAGAACCAGGAAGAGAGAGTTTCACAAGAGAGAAGTGCAATAGAACCAACTTAGCATAAAACTTATGGTTACATCTAGCGGCCATTTCAACTGTAAAATGATGAGACCTCATCACCAATCTAGTACTGTGCTTAAATTCATAAAGTCTAGGTACCATAGAGGAAAGTTTGTCAGAACATTTTTTTCTGACTTAATGATAATTCTTCATTTCAAAAATCTATTATTATATACTTAGCAATTTGGACCAGTATACCCGTATTGGTTGGTATATTTCCAACATTTTGCCTATTGTATCCTCTGAATTTCTTCAGGTATCTGCTTCCATACTTTTGAATTTTGAACTGTTGCTTTTATTCAAACTACAGAGGTAGGTAGTTTGTTTTTTTAAAAATGCTTTCCATTTTTCAGAGATATTTTGCATCAATTAGTACTCGCTAGTTTTATTCACCTTTTGTTTGTTTATTCCACTGAACCAGTGTATGTGACTTTTCAGTACTACCAGACTGAGGGACTGAACTCACAACTGCCAGGGAACTTAATAAGTTTTAACCAAAACTTTAATGTACTTGACCACGTATCTTGTGTAGTGGATTGAATAAAAATTTCATTTTAGAATTCCAAGAAGGTTACAAAGTATGAAAGCAAGACACATGAAGAAGTCTAAGGGTATAATAACTGAAATGTTAGTATTACAACCAAGATGATCATATTGGTTGGAATAGCAAAGTTTATTTTAACATTATTCACATTATATTAATGATATTCTAAAATAGGTACCTCCATTATTTTCCCTAAAAAGCAGCATAGCATGATGAAAAAAGGCCCCAAAGTTAATAAAAAAAATTTTTTATCATCAAAATGTTTGTTACTATTAAGAGGAAAGAACAAAGTATTTTTTAATTATTTAAAAAAAAATTTTTCTTTCTTTTTAACACATTCAAAATTTGGATAAAATTTTTTTTGTCAACTGCGTAAGACTTGTGGTAATGGACATTTTTGTGTAGCTGTTTCTGGTAAAATGACACATTAATTTGGGAATTCTTCAAATAATTGTCAGATTTTAATGAAACTTTCAGGACTTATTAAAAAAATGAATTAATTTATTTTTGAAATTTTTATCTTTAGAAAATCTTGATAAAAAAATTTTTAATTTTTTTTTTTTTATGTCTGTTACTCCCAACTTAATTTCATAAAATTTTCTAGAATTTCAAATTGTTAAAAAATCATTTTATATTAGTTAAAAGCAGGAGTCCTTGGAGAATGTAAATTGTCAATTTTTTCCAACTATCACCAACTTTTTAAAAATCTGCTTCAAATCACAAAATTAAAACTGTAATAAAACTTATAAAGTTTCAAAAATGTTTTCAAATTCTTGCAAATATCGTCAGAGGTAGGTTATTAAATTATTAATTGAAGACTATATTTACTAAGTGAAGATTAAAAAGCTTAATACAAATCATTCCACCAAAACTTTTTACAATAATTAAAAATAATTTTTTGTGTGGTTAAATGTTTTTTTTCTTTTTAAGTAGGGTGTTTCATAAGTGACATTATGGTCAAAAGGTCATGCATTTCAAAGCTTGTACCCCTTAGGGAAAACTTGACATATAAACATTTTCAACTGTGGGCAATTCTTTAATTTCACTTCCATGTTTCATAGTCCCTACGTTTCAACAGGCTTCTTTGGAAATCATCCCTTCAAGATTTAAACATTTTTTTTGCCTATTTCATTAAATATTTTTAATTTTGCTATATATTCATTTTACTTTAGTGCGTGCCATGCATCAAATAATTTGTTTTATTTATTAGTTTTTTTTTACTTAAGAAAAATAATTTAATTTGTTTTTATTTAGTTTTTTTAAGTTTTTTTTTTGTGTGTTATATTTTTATAAAAAATGGCTGAAAGGCATCCCTTTATTTTATTTAAAACCTAATGTTTAATTTAATTATTTTTATATACTTTATTTCATTTACATTTGAAATTAGTTTTCTTCTCTCATTTTAATTGTGGTAGGTACCTCCTACCATATCTAAGTTTTTTTAAAAATGAATTTAAAAAACAAAAATTAAAAAGCTTTCTTGAATCTTTCATTTTAGCTTTAATTGAAAGCTAAAGGCTAAAATAAATTTTAATTAGTATTTCAAGTAAACAAAATACTCTGGTTAGTGTATTTCAAACAGAAATTATTGATTGCAATGGGTTTTTTCCTGTGAAGAAAGCGATAAAAAAAAAATCTTGCAAGTTTTTTTTTTTTTTTTTTTAAAAGAAAACAAAAATTAATTCTCTTTTTAAAAATTTTGCAAAATGCAATATTTTTCTGAAATGTCATTTATGGAAAATTATCAAATTTAAAGTTAAATTAATAATTTAATATTATTTGAAATTTAAAAAAATTAAAATGTACACAGCTGATGAAAAAAAAAATAACCAAAATTTTGAATGTGATAGAAAGTATTAAAAAATTTAATTAAATACTAAAAAAACATATTTTCTTCTTTCCTCTTACTAATAAACATCTTTTTGATAAAACTTTCTTTTGGTTGGGGCATTTTTTTATCATGCTATGCTGTTTTTTAAATGAATTAATGGAGGTAGAATGTGTTCACCATTTTTGTATTGTAGGAAAATGTATGCACCACGTGACTATGTTAATTGTAAAATGTTTTAGTAAATCTTTATTAATTAATAGTTAGTATTAAGATTTAAAAATTTAATAAAATTGTCCTACTTTTAAAACTAAATAGGTGGTGGGGTAACAGATTTAATATAATATTTTTACCAAAAATAATTTCATTCATTTTTTGATAAGTCCTGAAAGTTTCAGTAAAATCCATCAATTATAAGAATTTGATTTGTTTTCTCAAATCAGTGTGTTCATTTTATAATTTTTACTTATCTTCATCCTAATTTTTAAATTTTCAGATGGGAAGAACAAGATATTTTGAAGCAATACAGCAGTGTCTAAACTGAACAACCAATTCTGTATAGCCATATTTTTGAGGAAATTTCTCAAAGTATATGGTTCAATGTAGGGGATATCAGAATGGGCTTTCCTGGAGAATGCAGGAAATGGTTTCCCTGAAATTCAAAAATCTATAGTTGGTGTACTAATCTATAAAAAATGGAATTCAGGGTGCAATTTCATAGCAGTTGAAAACAAATGCAAACAGATGGCTCATTCTGTTACTGCTACTACATTGTCGCCTCTTCAACCGCCACCTCAGTTTCAACCCAGTGTTTATATACCACTCCTTTAACTACATTAAGAAGAATGAAAATTTTACAAAAAAGTTGTCACAGAAGATTACCAAAATACATGTATTGACGAAAAAAATAAGAGAACTTCAGAAGAAAATGAAGAGAAGAGAAGCAAAATAAATCCAATCAGTTCACTGGCAGGAAAGCCCACTATGACTGTCTACTGGATGCAGTTCCTGCACCTCATGTTTGTGAACTGTTGGAGTCTCTTTCAAAAACTTTTTCACTGCTGACCTCTTATCTGAAATTTTCTGCAACAACTGTTTACAGAATGGTGGAAGAGCCTGGTTTCTTTTCGGACACAAAGACTTTTCCTTCTGTGTTAAGTGCAGAAAACTGCAATTTAGTCTTTAATTTAAAAACGCAAGAAGGAAGCCATGTGAATTGCATTGTTTTAACAACCCCATCATCTTCCCATCTTGTGTCATTAGACTGTCATCCTTGAGGGGCTGCACTCGACTACAAGCAATATATCTGTGACTGCATTAACAACTTGCTCAATGGTTAAATGTTGATGACAGTTTAAAACATACTTGCAAAAGTAGAATGCTGCTTAACAGACTGGGCTCCCATCAACCATCTGACTGTTCTTCTGTTGGAAAATGAGTGGGAGATGAACCTTATTGAATTTAATTGCAATGTACATCCACTGGAAGCAATTTCTTCAAAAACTAGGAAAGTCCTGACAGATTGTGAGAAGGAGCATACCCAGATTGCAAATGTTACTGAGTGCCTCGCATGGAATTATTGTGGGCATGAATTCCCTTTGATATAGCAACAAATTAGGGCTGGTCAATATAGTGAGGGACTTTATTGAAAACAAAGAACTTCCATTGTCCTCATTCTCTCGATTCTGAAGAAATCAGCTGCATGTAATTTTTATGCTAGGTACAAATTATTTTGCAATCATTGAAGATGTAAAAAAATTTGTCTTCAGACTTGATGTGAAAAATGAGAAAATTTAAGAAATTTTTATAGTATTTTAAATTATAAGAAAGCATCTTCAAAATTATCTAAAAAAATTCTGTAAAGTATTAGATAACTTAGAATTTTGTAAATTTGTGTCAATTCTGGTCCACCATAGTTAACCTGTCACCTCATTCGGCATGGATACATTAGAAAAACAATAGCCTGTCATCAAGACATTCTTGTATAGAAAATTTTATGCCATAAGTAATATTTGTTTCAGAAAAATTTAATTTTAAATTTGCTAATTTTATGAAAATAACATTTCAGAAATGTATATTTTATTTTTGCGGGATTTTTGAAACCAAGAATTAAGTTTTGTAAACATTTCTGTCAAAAAAATTAAAAATGGCCATTTCGATTGTTTTTTCTGAAGAATTGACTAAAAATTATAATTTCTATTTGAAATGCACCACAGTATTTTGTTTTCTGGAATTAGAAAATTTAATCCTTTAGCTTTCAATTGAAGTTGGGGGAAAGCTTCAAAAAGGACTTTTAAACCTTAGGTATACTGAACAAATGGAGGTACCTATTCTAAACCTGGCTTGCACAAAATACTGTTCAAGAGCCACATGCGGTCCACAAAACTGGCTTGTGAGGGGTCTTAAAAGTAGTCATTAGTCAATTTTTAGTGTTCATTAGAATAAATTCAGTAACTGAAATATTAAGTTTTGTGGTGGCCTGACTTTATTCAACCAATATTTCACTGTTTTTTTATCTAATTAATCCTGTTAACTCTGTAGGAAAAGAAAATGGATAAATTTTCTTACCATCCCTCCCTCTATCTCTATATCTGTTACTCAGTAATTTAGTCTTGTGGTCTGCGGCAAAATTCTGTGATTAATGTGGTTCTTGGAATTTGCTTATTTCCTCTCCAAATTCAATAACAAAATTCCTCTATTTTATAAAAGAAGTCTGGTATCAGAAATGCATCCCCAAACAGTGGGATTTATTATGCATTAATGCATTATTAAAACAAAGGTAGCCCTCAAGAGCCTCACGCACATACAGAAGTATCTCAATTGGATCCATCATTGTGAAAATATTAATGAACTTTATATTAACAAGTCTCTCATTGTTTTATGAAAGTCAACTCCTCATGACCCAGTTTGGTTTTCATTTTGGTAAGGGATGCAATAATGGAATATATTTCATCAAACAACGAGAAATTGCTTACTTCTCTAAAAAGATTTTTTCTATATAAATGACTACATCAATAAATTTTTTTTTTCTATATAGCAGCATATGACTACATCAATAAAGATTTTTTTTTCTATATATAGCATATGCATCAATAAAGATTTTTTCTACATCAATGACTACATCAATAAAGATTTTTTTCTATATAGCAGCATATGACTACATCAATAAAGATTTTTTTTCTATATAGCAGCATATGACTACATCAATAAAGATTTTTTTTTTTTCTATATAGCAGCATATGACTACATCAATAAAGATTTTTTTTTCTATATAGCAGCATATACATCAATAAAGATTTTTTTTCTATATACATCAATAAAGATTTTTTTTTCTATATAGCAGCATATGACTACATCAATAAAGATTTTTTTCTATATAGCAGCATATGACTACATCAATAAAGATTTTTTTTCTATATAGCAGCATATGACTACATCAATAAAGATTTTTTTTTTTCTATATACATCAAGCTATATGACTACATCAATAAAGATTTTTTTTCTATATAGCAGCATATGACAACATCAATAAAGATTTTTTTCTATATAGCATATGACACATTGATAAATTTTTTTTTCATCTATTAGAAACCTCCTTCCTAGCTCCAGATCCACTGAATGCATTGATCTAATAGAGGAACAGTATCAATCTAGTGACTCTTACATGTTTGGTGAGGACTTCAATAGGGAAACATTTCAGAACTCATCAGGAGTATGACAAAGAGGAAATGAGAGTGCCAGCATATTTAATGGAGTCAAACCCACTTGAAAAAATCTAAACTGTCAGCTGTTTACAATCGCTTCCTAAAATCAAGGGTTAAAAAAAGTTTCAAGTCTTGGCAAAAGTCATTCTCCTTTGAACATTGTGGATTGGTACTACAGAATCACAAAGAACTGTTCCAAATAACAGAAAACACATCACTTAAGGACTACCAACAGCAGCAACAACTAAAATGAATATCACAGTAACTTGAAGAGAAAATAATTAAAAACAAAAACAAAACTCAGAAACAAAAGTACTAAGCTTTATTTAGTTAAATTAAACTCCGCTACAAAGTAGAAGGAGGGGAGGTAAGTCACAGATTATACAGTCTGCATGGGTGAGTCTATTTCTTGCACAATGCAAGCATAGGATGTTAACTTTCCACACCACTTCAAATAAGAGCTTAGGAAGGAAACCTCCTATAAATGCTTGAAAGAGTGATAACAGCTACAGGACTTGAGAAACCTGTTTTCCTAAGAAATTGTTTTAAGAGAAAGATTTCATAAATTTCAACTGGAAGCAGTACTAACTGTGCAGTCAATGAATGCCAAATGTTTCCTTGTTGAGAAACAGTTAATATTACCACTACCAGTCAGTTTTTAATTGTGCAGAGTATTTGATAGAATATTAAGGGAGATAACTTTGGTAGTGCTTATAATTACTGTGTTTAAATTAGTTTGCCAAAAGGCCATGTGTGAAATGCCTAGCAAGGATCAAAGATTTAAATAAAAAATGGTCTACTATGGCTTGTAATCACTTAACTGCTTATATACAGACACATTTAATATAGAATCCTGACAGTTTTTAAGGAATTTGACAAATGGAAAAATATTTCATTGAACCTAGATTTGATTACACATTTTGCCTTTCTAGGCTTCATCAGACCCTAAAATTTAAGAAAGAAATGTGTGCGTATACTTAAATAATGAATCAGAGTACTTTTTTTGCTAAGTTGAATGAAAACAAGTGACTTTTGATAAAAGCCATTAATATTCATTCTGTATCAGAAATAAATATTAACAGCTTTTTTAAAAGTCACTCATTTTCATTCTTTTCTTTAATTATAAGAAATGCCAGCTTAAGGAAAAAGTACGATGATTCATTATTTGAGTATACACACTTTCATTTTTGGATCTGAAAGGTGAAATCTGTAATCAAATATATATATATATATATACACATACATGCATACAAACTCGCACATTAGGGTATGTTGATTTTACACATTTTTAAAATCAATTTTGGACATGGCAAGATAGTCGGGGTTTAATGAGAGAACTGACATCAAATCTTAGATTCCTAGCTTTTACCCCCATTTAAGGAAATCTAATAAAAAATTTCTGAAATTCCTTGTACACATGATTAGGAAGGAAGTCTTGGAAAACTTAACATGCAAGGGGCATAATGAGAGCAAGAGGGATAGAGGAGGGCCGCACACTACTTACCTGACAAGCTTATGTGAATGGATGACAAACTGCTAAGAGCCACATGAGATAGAAAGTTGTGGAGAGCCATGATCGCCTATGGACATGGCACAGAGAAGAAAAATTAAAAATTGCCTTCTAAAATAGAAATCTTTTATATATATATGTATATTTTGTTTGGTGGTTAAAAAAAAGACATCATCAGTCCTACAATGGAAATATATAAATTATGAACAAATATACAAGACATAACACAATAAGCATAAACAAAAATGCTAAATGCATTTTTTTTTTTTTAAAAAAAGCTGTTAATATTTATTTCTGATACAGAATGAATATTAACGGCTTTTTTTCAGAAAAAAAAATTGTATATTTTAAAGAACATATGTATACAGAGATAAAAAGTTTGTGCTTATTTGGTGGCAGCCACATGACCAGTCAGAGAGTTGTCCTCTACTTTGGTCATTGAAGAAGAAAATTTGGTTTTTGTTTTGATTGATAACAAACTGCCTGTTCCAGTGCATGATAAGAGTTTTCAGTATTTATTTAACTATTTTTTTTATAATTTCACTTTTCTTTTTTTTAATGTTAATTATCATTCTTATCTATATTTTAAATTAATTTTGTTACTTTTAATTTTTCTTATTAATTATTTATTATTTTGATTTCATAATCCTACACAGTCTAGTACTAAGGGTTAGAGGTTATTTAGAGATTTATTTGTTGCTTTCACTACACCTCTTAATCTCAACCCTGTTGCCTGCATATATTTAAAAAAAATAAAATTTGACAAGTCGAAGTTTGTAATGCAGTTCTGTTGGATTACATACCTGTGGTTCATATGCACATTAAACTAATTACCAATGTTAACCATTTTGTATTATTTAGTTGTTTCACTTTTCCAGACAGCAAATGTAAGGTTAACTTGACATGAGGAAATCTCTAGTAACAGGGAGGTTTGGATACTAAAAAATCATAAATCTGAATTTGTAATTCCAAGGATCATAAATCATTCTCACAAGTGCAATATCAGAAAATGCTGGGAACATATATCAAAAGGGTCACAAATCCAATATCCTAAACTTGTAAGGCACAACTAACTCTTCACCCATGAAGAGTCAAGCAGTCCTGTTGTCCTAAATAGTGTTCTTTTATTGGGGTAAGAAGGGTTGTGATTATTCGATACTAGTAGGGAAGTACAAACAATTGCCATATATTGAGGTTACTAAATCAACAGGATCTTTATTCTGATTTTGTTTTTCGACAGATTGCACAAAGAATACAAATTCTTTTCTGAGATAAAACTTGATTTTCTTTGTTGCCACAAATATTTTCTAAAAGGAGTGAGGAATGATTCATCAACCCAAATTTTGGATAAAATAATCTGAGTAGTGGAATACCAACAATAATAAACTAATATTTTGCAATAAATAACATTTTATAAAACAATTAAGATTACTAGAAAGGAAAATCTTTCTGTGTGTAGTGTAGAATGTGAGTATTTACTTATGGAGGATCTTCTAATTGCCACTTGGAACCATCCATTGTCCTCAAAGTATGTTCCATGTTATCGAGAAAGCCACTGGCAAATTTCACTTGGGACAAATCTTGATAGTCATTTTCACACAATTTCCTTGGTTGGGCTTTTCATTGTCCCATCAATATATTTGATAACAGCTCTGAATTGGAGCTCATTCTGATGTAATGAGCAACCAATTGTGTGTATTTTTTGTTCAAGTTTCTTCAGAGTTGTTCTAAGGCCAGACTTACATCCAGTATTTGTCCTTGTGTTGTCCAGAAGAATAGCCTTGAATTCTTTTAACACATGAAACAGGAATACCACCAAACACACCTCTAACTCTGTGAGTAAGATATCCTCAACTTTCAGTTTTCATTCCTTCAGGAAATGTTAAATGACTTTTCCTTTCTTTTCTTCAGTTTAACCCTTTAGCACTCAACATGCCCAAATCCAGGACTTTAAGGAGCTCTCCTGAACGGAACGTACTCCTGTTTGCTGAAACCAATGAGCTTTTTCTCATTAACTATTCTTAAAAAAAAAAAATATACCAATAGTAAGTCACTCAAAAAATCATTTTTTGCATGCATGAAAGGGTTGTTTAGCTAAATTAAATTCCTAAAAATTTTCTCATCCCAATCAATTATTCTACTCACTTTTCATCAGCACTCATAAGAAAGAAAGAAATTTTAATGCAGATGTTTGTGGTTAAATGGGGAACAATAAACTGTGTAGATGAGGTGAAAATACAGGTGAGAATTTGTTGATGTAATATTACAACATATTGATGGAGTGGGAAAAGTGGTGTGCTCCTTTTTTTTTTTTTTTCAGGAGTGGTAGCCGGAGCAGCTCCTTTTTTATGAACAGAGCTAAGGGGGGCATGCTCCATTTTGGGGAACATGAGTGAGAGCCACTTCAGAATTTGAGGAGCATGTAAAATCCTGCTCAAACCCACCCTGTAAATACTGACTCAATATTCAACCAGTTGTAATCCACCCCATGTATACTCTGCTATAATATATGACAACATCATTGCAAATAATGCAGGAAGTCATGCAAACAGTGAGACTTTGCCCACAAACAGTGAGACTTTGAGAACCAATATTTAAAGCGTAGGTTTGAGTGTGTTGAATGCTAAAGGGTTACTAATTTTACCCTCCATAACAACAAAGTGTCTGTCAATTTTTTCATTGACCCCAATACAAATAAGTTTTTCAGCATTTTCAGTTTGTTTTGCATGTGTCATCACTTTCATTCTTGTCTATTTTTGATTTATCAGTTATATGTTTTAAAATAAATGCTAGGTTTAATAAGGCTGTAATAACCTGTATGTCTTTCTAGTGAATCCCCCCCAAAATAATTATGAAAATAAAATATATAAACAAAAATAAAAGAAATTAAAATAAAGCATTTGCATTTTATTAAAATCTTCATCTCTTTCTATACTTCTCTCTCAACTAATGAGAAATCAACCCTCAAATGAAAAAGAGTAAGAAAAGACTGAATCTGGCCACAAAAAGGTGGAGGTTTGTTAGACCAGAGTCTAGCTACTTGTCACTAAAAACTACCAAAAAATCAGAGAGGCTCCACTCATAACTTCTGCTATATACAAAAAAATGAAAAGAACACCAGAAAACAAAATAATTTTGGCCAGTCAAAAAAAGAATAACACAAAGAGACTTTTGATGTTAGCTGAAACCAAGCTTTGCACCAGTAGTTGGAGAGCCTGGTCAAAAAGATATAAACTGATGAAGAGAAGGGATTTTAAGAGAAACCAGAACAAATGAAGGTACTGCCAGAGAAACCAGAACAAATGAAGGTACTGCCAGAGAAACCAGAACAAATGAAGGTACTGCCAGAGAAACCAGTCATCTGTGAAGAAATTTAAGAGGTCTGCTTAAAACATGTTTTTCTGCTCTTAGAGTCCCAAAAAGATATCAGATTGATGCTGACTGATTTCTAAGATTACTATTACTACTGCTACTACTACTACCAAGTTCTGACTTTGGAAGTACCCACTACCAAGCCAAAATAGACTTTTTTCCTGATTGATGCCAGGCTCGGACTTATGAGCAAACTTTTGTTATCCTGAATTCCAAAGGACTCACTCCAATCTAAATCAAATAAATACATATTATTTGTTTTGTTTTAATTCCAAAGTTTCTGATAAAATAATTACCAAGTATCTCTGGAACTTAGCACCACATCTTAAAGAAATGTATTACCAAGAAATGTCCAAAGATTAGAGGAAACTTCCCTCCTGATTAGTTTGTATATCTTGAAATTTATAAAAGACTGTAAAGTCTCACAAGATGTCCCTTTTGTCTCAGAATATTAATTTTTAGTTTCTTCATTAAAGACTACAGACCATTTAACAACTATTTTTATCCAGTAGCCGAGAAAAATACAATATATTTTTTCCAAAAATAAAACTTATTTTGCTTAAACTAAGTAAATCAAGATGTATTTATGATCTATAATAGATCTTATAACATTCATTATCAAAAACATTATATGAAGAAAAATATACAGAAAAAACAAACAAAAATCTTAATATGCAATTATGCTGTATTAATGTTAATATAAAGTCAGCGTCGGACGTTTTAGGTCTATTTTAGACCATCATCAGGACATAAAATAGACCAAAACGTCCGACGTTGACTTTATATTAACATTAATACAGCATAATCTATATCCATATATTTGCTTACATATATATAAATCCTTGCTAATAAAATTTTCATTTCTTCAACCAGTCCTAAAGTTACCTTTTCTATCTACATTCTTTTCAGAAAAGAAGAGTGGAAGAATTGTTTGCTGAAAACATTCCTAACGATGAAGCTCAAATGCTTTCAAATGGCAAGTAAGTTGTTTAGTTACTTCTCTCTATTGATTTCTGAAGATATTTCAGCATTTAGAGAAGATCATTTTCAACTGTGTGTAAATGGTGAAAAAAACTTGCTGATTCCATAAGGCAGTGTCAGACCATCTTGATCAAACTCAGGTTAGCTACATCTAAACTGTTTTCAAGTAATGAACATTTGAATCATTTATCTTTGTACCCATGGTTAAATGTAATTGGCAGTAATGCCCAACAAACAGAACTGATGAAGTTTGCAATGAAAAATAACAAAAGAGAATAAAAGAATAGGGCAAAATAACAGTAAGCAAATAATATATACAAGATAAAACCGGGCAAAGTAACAGTAATGAGGCAAGAAAGTTTGCAAGCTAAGAATGGTGTTGACACATCAAAGGGGTATGGACAAGTGATCACAGAGTTATAACTTCAAGACAAGAAAGAACAAAAATATGGCAGATGAGAGAGAGAAGTGGTCCATTTTATTGATCGGGGAGAAATCCCAGCATGCATCTGTATGATTTGTCTATAAATTTGGGGAAGGGGATGTTTTTGCAATTATTCATATGCAGGATTGTGACCAACAATCTTCAGCATTGTGAGGGCAGAAAAATACATAAAGAATGCAATTAGTTTTGTATTGGTTATTTTTAGTTTGAATTCTTAGCTTTTGTCTCCAGTCTTTCCACTTAATCATTTAACATCTTTCTGTTCCCTATGTCTGAAATTTTTCCTCTCTAAGAGTTGTGTCCCTTTGTTTCTTTGAGTTTGTTACAAATTTTTGTTGTTTCTGTTTGAAAAGTGTTTTCTTTGTGTATTTCTTTGAAATGTATTTTATTTATCCATTTCCTTTTGAGAGTTATATTTATTTGTTTCTAGTTTTTATGGTGTTAATTTAATGTTGATTCATCAATAAAGAATAAAACATCAGTATGAAGCATGGACTAGCATATAGTTACAAAGTAAAATGTAAACAATAGTAAAACCTAATAATAATAGTTGAAAATGTTTCATCTACTAAATCATGTATTTTTTAAAGATTTATTTTGAAAAAATTAATAACTAATTTTAATCTTTCCAAATTTATTTATTATTAAACTTCTTTGGTTCTTCTGAAACTGTCATTAGAACAGGAGTAGAGGTTAATCCCTTGTTTCCTGTTCAGAGTTGGCTTTCTGGTTCCTTCTAAAGTTTACCTCAAATCAATACTTCTAACGTCTCTGCCTAAACCCTGAATTTTAATTACTATTTATTTACTTTTTTCTTTCTTTCATCAATAGGAGTAGATATATCATCCAGTTCAAACTCCTTCCTGGTCTTTTGAACAGGAATAGAGGTTTATCCCTTGTTTCTTGTTTAGTATTGGGTTTCTGGTTCCTTCTAAAGTCTTTTCACTCTCTTTCACTCCATGTAGCCTCCTTGCATCTTAGTGGGATTATTGCTTTGCTTGGGGGGAATTGATTAAAAATAAAAAAAAATATGGACATTAGAATAAAGATTTTCCAGATACATGGAAAATGGGTTTCTGATACCAACTAAATCTATTTCATGTCAGAGGATGTGAATGAATGATTGTGATTTATTGTCTTTTACTCGCCAATTCCTGTCATAGAAATGAGCAAGAGTGGAAAAATAGTCAAACCACACAGCCACCAATTCTTTATTGCATTTAGGGTGTCTCTTTTCTCTTCTATCAATCCATTTTTTCCCTTCCTCCTCTTCCTACTTCCTACTATTGGGTGAAATATGAAAGAAAGGAATATTCTCCCAGTTTGTATTTCCCCCATTATGGACATTATTATATCTATGATATAGTAACGCCTTATCTCATGGATGGAGCAGAATAGCTGAAAGGAAACAATGACAAACTTTTGTTTGCAGAGTTTTATACTGTTAAAGCATACACAAATTTATATATACATATTTACATTTATCCCACACAGAGAAAATATAACACACATGTGCAACAACAAGCAGTGTGGAAAGAGAATAAAAAGATAGTGTTGCTTAATATAGTTCTCAACAGAAATTACAGCTGCTGAAGATACTTCTGTGTTTCTGGAGAAGCCATATTTAGGATTATATATCCAAGCAGGCCAGATTCCTTTTGCTATGGCACTAGCAAGGACATACAGGATGCGATGGGTAAATTGTCGCCATTTTATATGTTTAATTTTGGGCATGTGCATTGTTTGTTTTTGATTTTTTCAACTGCACAGTATAGTAAGGTCAGTTGGGAATTGTCTGAGAAAAAGAGTACATGACCATGGTGTTCTATATTAGATGGCCAATTCATAGTGTAGAGAAAGGACAGAACTGGAGGCCGGCTTTAAACATTCCTTGATCCAATGAGAGCAATGGAGCATTTTAGTTTCAGTTTGAATTTGTGATAGCTACTCCAGTGTTGTTGGCTTAAAAAATTCAAAGAAAATTTTCCTTAGACTTGGAATGTCATTTACCTTATTTAATTGAAGTAAGTATAAGATTTATTTATTTTATTTTGAGTTGCTATATTATTTTTTATGTAGATTGTAAAAACAAACTTTTGGGTCTGTAATTCACTACACAAAAATAGCATTTAGAAATCTTAGTCTTCTTGTTACTTTGAATTTCAAGCTTCTTATTTAACATTTTTAAATTAAAGTTTATTAAATATTTTCCCCTTTAAGTTTGTTTAACATTTTTCACTTAAAGTTTATTATGGTTAGGGTTTAAAAGATTAAAAAAAAAACCAAAAGTGCTTTGTTTCTTCCATGAGGTTTAAATTTTATAAAGACTTGATTTATACACTTCTGTTTTTACTGCAGAATTTATTTAGGTAAAATTAAAATAAAATGCCATTATTTGTCAAAGTTCACAAAGTTATTTTAATATTTTTCTTTCATATTGTTATTCATAAGAATTATTCATTGATAAAATTTAATTCTTTTTATATGGAATTTGTGTTTTTATTGTAAATATTAAACTATTTTAGTTTAAATTAAACTGTGAGAAAAAACATAAAATAGAAGCAAATGTAATATTAAACATAAAATAGAAGCAAATGTAATATTTTTGTTTTACAAAATGAACAAAAAAACATTTAAGAACTTTTTTACATAGATTTAATATATAATTATAATCAAATTCTAAATATTTAATTCAGTATTTATTTTTGATATTGTAAAAATGCTGTGAGTGTGAACGAAATTAATCCTGCTTGTTTTGAAATTAATTATGCTTGTTTTTCAAAATTTATTAAAAATAAATTACCATTATTATCTCACAAGGTAACTTTAGTATTTTTCTTTAATATTGTTGTTATTCATAATAAACAAATGTCTTTGTAGAATTTTTTTTTAAACAAATATTTATTTATGTTTAGTTTAATTTTTGAAATTTTCCATTAACCCATTACCTGCCATGAGCCCCATTTGGGGATCTGTTAAAATTAAACTCACTACATGTTATTGTATTTACATTGAATTGCTTACATACATTGCATTTGCAGAGGTATATTTTACAACACTTAGCCTTTAAAGTTTTTATTATTAGCCGTGAGAAGACACTTTGTCGTAATTTTACATTTTATGAGTAGAAAAATAATGACTATTTTAAAAAGTATTTTTTATTATTTCTAATCAATATTATTTTTTGATGTTTTATACATGTATATATTTGATGTTCTAGTTTCTATAAAAACGATAATGGTAACTACTGAAATTAAACATAAGGAATAAATAAACTCCTAAAACACCTGTCTGGGCCAAAAATGCACATTAAAAAAATTTGGCAGTTAATGGGTTAAAGCATAAACTAGAATCAAATAGCATATTCTTATTACAAAATTAATGAAAAGCCATTTAAGAATGTTTTTATGTAAATTTAATGCCAAATAATAAAATTTAATATATTTAATTCGATGTTCTAAAAATGTGGTGAGTGAAACCATGCTGCTGCTTGCTGCTCAGTCATTTTTCCAGGTTCTTAAGTATTTATTTATTAACTCAGGTTGAGCACAGAATGAATTTTTGACACAAGAAGGCTGAGATTAAAGTGCACAGTGGGATATTGCCCCAAAGATAGCCAAAGTCCTGTCTCTTTGGCATTCCTCTTGCAGGGCACCTCAGGCACCGGGCAAAAATTCCAGTCCCCACCTTTAAATCCAGAGGAAAGTGTTGCCTGGAGGAGCAGCATTCTAGGAGAGAGCCAGGCAATAGCTGATCTTATGTTAACAAGTGCCAGAAATTTAGTTACTTAATTAATTCAATAATTAAAAGATTATGCAATATTTTGCAAACCTTTGGTCCCCAAAATGGTTAGGATGAAACACAGTTCAAATATAGTAATACATGCTTTTGAGTTCTATACAACATCACAATCATTATATAATAGATTAAGACAAGATTTTCAATTAGTAACATTAAGAAGGATGACATCAAAAGTTTCGAAACTTCATGAAAAATCTTTTTTGCTATCTTTATTTAATAATCTTAATTCCAGTCAAAAAGGGTACATAATTTTCTATGATGAAGAATGTATGTATCAAGAAAATGTTACTATATCAAGGCAAACAACTATTTGGTAAGTCAGTTGACAATCCATCTCTACTTGCTCAAACAGTACTTGGTATAATCATATGTTTTAGGGGGAGGCCCTAAATTTCTTACAAGATTAATTCCAATTTCAAAATTAACATAGCCTTTTTATTTGAACAAATTGAGTTAACAGTTCAGGCTATCATCTTTGTCTTAGCTGATGTAAAGGCTATTAAATGTGATAGCAACCAAGCCAAGCAATCTTTTTTAAATTATATCCCACACTCCATGAAAAACTTAGTTAACTGAAGATAATAAACATCTATTTTTTGATTATGTTCATCTGTTGAAAAATATTTGCAATTTGTGGCTCACAGAAAAGACAGGAGAACTAATCTTTGATGATAATAGAGTAAAACGAGTTGCAAAATGGGTGCATCTTAGACACTTATGTCGTTTTGAATCTGAAAGACTAGTTAAACTTTC